AAAATTCAACTGCTCAGGCCCATTTGTGTTTCTTTTTACACCGACAGAGCCGAACATTGATTTATAATATAACTATACTGAGCAGACTTTAGTTACAATTCAAGTTTGTATCTCACAAGGGACAAATATGGTTTTATACGTAGATTCAGTTGGAAAAATGAAAATTCAACTGCTCAGGCCCATTTGTGTTTCTTTTACACCGACAGAGCCGAACATTGATTTATAATATAACTATACTGAGCAGACCTTAGTTACAATTCAAGTTTGTATCTCAAAGGGACAAATATGGTTTTATACGTAGATTCAGTTGGAACAATGAAAATTCAACTGCTCAGGCCCATTTGTGTTTCTTTTATACCGACAGAGCCGAACATTGATTTATAATATAACTATACTGAGCAGACCTTAGTTACAATTCAAGTTTGTATCTCACAAGGGACAAATATGGTTTTATACGTAGATTCAGTTGGAAAAATGAAAATTCAACTGCTCAGGCCCATTTGTGTTTCTTTTTTTATACCGACAGAGCCGAACATTGATTTATAATATAACTATACTGAGCAGACCTTAGTTACAATTCAAGTTTGTATCTCACAAGGACAAATATGGTTTTATACGTAGATTCAGTTGGAAAAATGAAAATTCAACTGCTCAGGCCCATTTTGTTTCTTTTTACACCGACAGAGCCAAACATTGATTTATAATATAACTATACTGAGCAGACCTTAGTTACAATTCAAGTTTGTATCTCACAAGGGACAAATATGGTTTTATACGTAGATTCAGTTGGAAAATGAAAAATTCAACTGCTCAGGCCCATTTGTGTTTTTTTTATACCGACAGAGCCAAACATTGATTTATAATATAACTATACTGAGCAGACCTTATTTACAATTCAAGTTTGTATCTCACAAGGGACAAATATGGTTTTATACGTAGATTCAGTTGGAAAAATGGAAATTCAACTGCTCAGGCCCATTTGTGTTTTTTTTACACCGACAGAGCCGAACATTGATTTATAATATAACTATACTGAGCAGACCTTAGTTACAATTCAAGTTTTTGTATCTCAAAAGGGACAAATATGGTTTTATACGTAGATTCAGTTGGAAAATGAAAATTCAACTGCTGAGGTCCATTTGTGTTTCTTTTACACCGACAGAGCCGAACATTGATTTATAATATAACTATACTGAGCAGACCTTAGTTACAATTCAAGTTTGTATCTCACAGGGACAAATATGGTTTTATACGTAGATTCAGTTGGAAAATGAAAATTCAAAGGCCCATTTGTGTTTCTTTACCGACAGAGCCGAACATTGATTTATAATATAACTATACTGAGCAGACCTTAGTTACAATTCAAGTTTGTATCTCACAAGGGACAAATATGGTTTTATACGTAGATTCAGTTGGAAAAATGAAAATTCAACTGCAACTATTCTGTTATGAGACACTCTTGAAAGTTCTTCATTTTTGGACAAGAATATCAGATTAATTTGTTTATTCTAAAATATCAAAGCCCCTTTTTTAATTACGAGCGTCAGATGAAAGGTTCATAGCCTCTCTATGAAGGAGTGATGCTAGAACTGTGAAATCTTGCATGCATTCTTTTTAACTTGTTTTCTTATTAACTCTATTATTTTTTTTAGGTAAACAGACACATGACTGCTCAAAGAAGTCTTCAAATGTAACAGATCGCGACTTCTCTTGAAAATGGACAAAATCTCGCATCGTAGTCTTATCAAGAAAAAGGGTTTCACCTCCAAAGATATTAAATGATGACGCTCCAGATTTATCAACAGTGCAAAAGTGGGCATCTGAATTTAGGAGGTAAGGGAGGGCCTTGAAGATGACTCAAGTTCTGGGCGTCCTGCAACTGCCACCCTCAAGGTAAACGATGATCATGTTCAGCACATGGTGATGGATGACATGAGATGGACTATAAATCAAATAACCAATGTTATTAGCAAATCCTTTGAGAGAATTGAGAATATTCAGCACAATGAACTTGGTATGATGAAGGTTTCTGACACCAAATCAAAAACGCACAGTTTGATCACATCACGGGAAGATCCGCCATTTTTTGAACCAGATCCAACTGGTTTTCTTGAATGTTTCCCAACCTACGGTGAGTTTGGGTTTCATCATTTTGAGCCACAGGGAAAAAGGACAATCCATGGAATGCAAACCTGCCTCCTCACCTTCTCCATAGAAGACTAATATAATTTCATCTGCAGGGAAGTTGATGGTCTCATTTTTTTGCCGGGGGGTGGGGGAAATGGCATTGTGTCTGTTGTCTTTAAAAGGGCAATAGAGAGTACAATGCTATCTTGCTGAGGCATTTACAAAAAGCTATCAGGACGAAACACTCAGGAAGACGGGTGAAAGTTGTCTTGTTTCATCAAGACAATGCTCCAGCGCACAAGTTCTTGATTTGATTAGATACTTTCAACTGGTTAATCACCATCTCTATTCTGCTGATCTGACTATCATATGCTCTCAAACATGAAAGAAAACACTTGTCTGGGAACGAGTATTTCAGTGGTGATGGCGTCATATCTGCTGTTTCTGATTTTTTCTGTCCAGCAGGATGAACAGTCTACTTTGTACAGTCAGATGTCACTTTACCTGGAAATAAACAATATATTTATTAATAAGAAGAGTTGAAATTAATGCTTGCAAGATTTCACAGCTCTAGCATCACTCCTTCATAGTCAGACTATGAACCTTTCAGTCTATCAATTGTATATCATGCTTGTGCTCGAAGTTTGAGACAGATGGTCTCAATTACTCATGAAGTTTATGCCCAAAACTAGAGCCAGAGGGTCGCACTATCAAAAGAGTTTCAGACAGACTGCTTTTCATGTTAGTACAATCGCAGCAGAAAGTTGTTTGTTTTTTTTTTCATTTTTTATCAGGTTTTTCTAAGATTTTTTCTACTATACCCGACTTCTGAACCAAAATGTCCGTCATACTTATCTGGCATGTAGCCAATGTTTAAAGTAGAGTTTTCTAACTAATTATCAAATTAGACCACATACTTATCAATAAATAGGTTTTTATTTAAAAGGCTTTAGGATGAAATACTATGCAAACTGCCCCACGTGTATATCATACTTCTAGCCAAGTTTTCAGGCAAAATGATACATTTACTTTACATGGATGTAGCAGACAAAGAAATGAAATAGTGAGAAAATAGAGGAAAGAAATGAGGGGAAAATGAAATCAAAGAAAAAAGGAAAGAAATGCATGAGAGTAAACAGCAAAATGGCGTCACGAAATGATGAAAGAATCGATTGATAACTAGAAAGAAGGATATACATTAGGAAAATATGAAATAACAGAGAAAACGGGAAAAATAATTGAAGAGAAGAGAGATAAGCGCCACAGAAAATGAAACGAGAGAAAAAAATAAAAAAAGAAAGAAATGATCGATGACTTAGCATGAGCAAAATAAATTCATGGATTTGGATGAGAAAAAAAAGAGCCCAGAATGACATTAAAATTCGCGAAAAGTTTTCATCTAATATTTGTGCTTAATTTAATTTGCAACGTATGTAAATGTAGGTAGCAAAAAGTAAATGTTGATAAGATAGGGAGAGTCACCAATCTCTGCCAGAGGCTCTCAATCTGGTCGGGAGCTTCGATGGTAGTAGGCACTGGTCATGAGAAGGACGTCACTGATAGGTGGAATGAAAGAGAAAATGTTTTCTTAAGAAAAGAAATTAATATGAACAGGCAAAAAAAGTCGAATTTTACTGGAAAAAAAAAGGAGATAAAAAAGTATAGTATAAAAAGAGGATAAATGATTATCTGGGAAGATGGACGCCACAAAAATGTAAATTAAGAGACAACAAAGATTAAAAAAAGCAGGAGAAAAGAAAGATCGGCATGGAAAGAAGAATGTCCTTTCTAGAAACATTAAATAAGAAACGAAACTTTGGCTAGAAGAAAGAAAATAGAAGAGAATAGGAAGAGACAGGAAAGAAATTACAGAAATATGAAATCAAACTATAAGAAAAAGTAATAGAAAGAAAAATGAATGGAAGGGCAAAGAAAAACGTCACAGAAAGAGTCAATGAGAAATCAAACGGAAGGACAGATAAATAAAGAAAAAAATGAATGCAAGCAGACACGATAGACGGACGTCATAGAAAGATGAAATGAGAGACAATTAGGAATGGCAGGAAAAGGTGAAAACACGAAAAAACCTGTAGGAAAGCAAATAAAATAATAGCAGCGAAATTACTGAATATTATGAATATCGAGAAAACAAACTTGAATAAAATGAAGGTTATAAAGCCGTAAAGGCAGGAGAAAAGAAAAATGGCGGATCACAAAAGGAGATGAGAGTGACAAAATGTCTGGCATCGAACTCCTGGAGATATCAATACTTCTCATTTCAGGTCTTAGCCCAAAACTGAAAGGGTAAACTGAAATATGCATCTAAAATGACACAGGTGGACAGAATTGGATACAGGTTGCCGCCATCCGGAGGTGATTCGCTCATGGGCAAAAAAATTCAATGGTTTTCCGAAAGACAGAGAGACGAGGAAATTTCTGAATGCAGCAGCGAAATTTTCAGAGGGTTCGAATCTCAACTGCATCTTTTTCTTTTTTTTTTTTTCCTCTCATTGTTTTTTTTTTTATTTCTTTACTTTTTAGAATTTTTATTTTTATTTTTTTATTTTCTGAGACATTTGCTCGTCAGTATTCAAATAACATTTCAGATTCCGCTTAAACCTCCCCCTCGCCCCCTATTTTCAGTTTGGTTCGTGCTGTTTTAGTTTTGAAGAAATTTGGAGTACGGGGGTGATGCTGCTTTTTAAGAAATTTAAAAAATTAATGAAGAAAAATATTTGGCTGCAAGTATGTTGGATCAAATGAGATCCGAGTGTCAAATGGGATCCAAAGGTAGAGGGCGGCAACGGGATTTGACGTGAGGTGACGTGAAACGACGTGATCTGATAGTGGGAGAAGATGAACGTTTGATCGACATGAGAAGAGGAAAAATTGTTTCTGAACAAAAGAAAGAGGAAACTTTTCTTTTTTTCTTTCTTTTTGGAAAAACTAAAAATTGTAGTCAATTTTAGTATTTATGATTTCGACTAATTTTTGATTTTGTAATTCAGTCATTTTTCTTCTATATTTTGTTTATTTGTTCTTTTTCAAAGAAAATGTCAAAGTTTAGAAAGAATCCGTTCTGCTAAGACAAAGGATCACTTTCAGAGTAAAAATATTTCTTTTTCTCTTTTCTTATTTCTTTTTTTTTTTTTTCATTCTTTTTTTTTTTTTCTTCTTACTTTTCTGTCATACACCCTTTCCTCTTTTCTATTTTTTTTTACCTGGGTTTTTCTTTTCATTCTTCATTTTCTTCTCCCATACAGGCTTACGGTTATATCACATTTAGGCACCGGTTAAGCGACATTGAGCCTAGTCAGTAACTAGATGGGTGACAGCTTGGGGATACCAGATGCTGTAAGCGTGGATGAGCGGATGGTGTAATAGATAAAGGCGCTGAATTGGAAATCGAAGAACCAGCTTCCATTTACACGTATTCGTTATATTCGCTTACGTGCAAATAACCTTGGAAAAGGCATCAATCCACCACGTCCCTCTTGCTATGGGTTAATTAGTAGAACGTGTATCAGTAAATCATTATTATCTCCAAAAAATCTTACCATCTAAAATTTTTTTTAACCCGCCAAAGTTTGGTAATCCGTAAAAAACAAATCAATCAAGCAATAACAACCCTCCCTCTCTATCTCTATCCCTTTCTCTCTCTTTCTTTCTTTCTTTCTTTCTTTCTTTCTTTCTTTCTCTCTCACGCTCTCTTTCTTAAGAAAGCAGATGTACAAAATATCTAAAGTGCGACTTTTTGAGTTTTCTTATGTTAACTTGGTTATCTGTATAAGTCGATAGCAGTAACCAGCATAGTGCCAGTGCTCCATTGACAACTGGTACTCTTCTTGACTCTGTGTTTCATAGTTGCAGGATATCGATAGCGGTGTCCCACAAGTTACTTGCAAAGCCAATGTGGCCTATTTCCCAACTATCTACCATGATCCCTGTAATGTCACCGGTGTAAATAACTTGCCATTTTGCCGTGTCTCTACAACAATAAGATAAATAAGGGCTTGTTTATTACGTTGATATATGTTATTTGCTATATCAGACTTGTTTCGTCTTGTATACGGAACAAAGGGATGGTAAGATACTCTTTGGTATGTACGTTTCTGCGTCTGTTGTTATATAAGTAACTTCTTTTACATGTCCGCCAATGAATAATGATTGGCCGGTAAAGTGAAATTTAGACTCATTTCCGTTTCTTAACGAACTTTCTCATGTTTTTATATTCTTCTTTTCTTCTCTCACCCCCCCCTCTCTTTGTTTGCCAGTCTGTTCGTCTCTGCGTGTGTCCTTATCTCATTTAACCGATTTTCTCTTTTACTTCTTTTTCTTCTTCTTCTCTCTCTCTCTCTCTTTCTTTCCCCTTTCTTTCTCTCTTTCTGTTTGTTTGTCTTTGTTAGCTGATTTTCTTCTTTCCCTTCCATCTGACTTGTTGATTTTCTTCTCTCTCACTCTCTCTCTCTCTCTCTCTCTGCTTATTATCTGCTCTCCCTCTTCTCTCATCCTCTCTCTCTTTCACTTTCTCTCTGTTTTTACGGGTCATATATATATATATATATATATATATATATAAAAGTGAACATAGAAGTCAACACTTAGAGACGACAGTCTGTTTCATGTTAGATGCAATCGTCAGGCCACGAGTGCTGTAATTTTTCTTGGCTATTTATATATGTGGGTCAGTGGTGCATTGTGGGTAGTCTATTTTGGCGGTTATTTTACCGGAAGTCGTTTACTTGTTTATTTATTTATTTGGGTTAAATTATTTTGCTTGTTCTTATTTATTTTTATTTTTTATTTTTTCTTATTTTTATTTCTTATCTTATTTATTTATTTTTTATTTTTATTTTTATCAGTGTTTTTATTAACGTAGTAAAAAAAATTATATCGCTTATTTAATAGTTTTGTTTTGGGTTGGGAAAATAAAGCTATTTATTCAATTTTGGGGTTGATTGTTGTAGTTTATTTTAACTATTATTTTGGCTGGAACAGTTTTTAATTTGTTTATTACTCCATATATTTATTTGGATTGATTATCTTTATTTGTTTTTTTTTAAAGGTTAGTTTATCGGGATCAGTTTGTTAGTTTATTTATTTGGATGAATTTATTTTACTTGTTATTATTTATTTGTTATGCTGTATATTTTCTTTTTTCGGTTTTCGATTTTTAAGTGACGTAGTATTTTTTTATCGTTATATAACAGTTATAGCTTTTCTTTTTTTTTTCTTCCGATTTTTTGTTTGATTTTTATAGTCTAACTAAGATTTTGGTCATAATGGTTTGCCAATTTGTTTATTATTTACTTTATTTATTTGGATTCATTGATTTTTTCTTTTATATATATATATATATTCAATCCTCTAGAAGTTTGGAAACGGCATGCTGTACTGCTTGGTATTAGCGCCGGAAGTTCCAATACGAACATTTCAGAGTATTTAGGTGTCAATTTGAGGATAATGCAAAGGATTCGGGAAGAGTTGGATGAGTTTAATGGTGATTATGAAGGTACGACAGCTCGGAAAACTCACTGTGATCGTTCTGATAAGAAATGAACTCCCGAATTTGTTGTTAAGTGCATCAGACTGAACACGGAGGCCTACATCAAGAGCCTTGAGGAGGTAGGGCTGCCCTGTGTCAAGAGGGTCGCTGATGGAAGACCCTATATCTGGCAACAGGACCCTGCCCCACGACCACACAAGGAGACCATCCAGAAGAGTTGCAGGAAATTCCGAAGTAATCCAGAGGCCGTGTTTGAAGCCAATGGCGATTTTATTGAATAAATTTACTCTTTACTTTTCCAAGATATTTTTGTGTAATTTTGCTAAATATATCTGTTAAAATGAGATGTTGGTGTTATTTTCATTTTTGCGTAATTTAGACGACAATTTATCTATCGCACCCTGTAAACTAATAAGTTTTGGCACTTCGACGTGGCGTAATGGTTAGCGAGCTTCTCTCACTGGATCAATTACGACTGAATAGTGACTTCGATACTTACTAAGGTGCCTTCTACTTTCGGCTTTGTTCTACATCTAAGCTATACTTAAAAAACCATCATATATAGATGAGTTTTTTTTATTCGCTAAAACGACTACTACCTTATCTCAAACACCTTTCTTGGTATTCACGTTCGAGTAAAAATTAGGATTTTGAACAGACTTTCATGACAGACGAATAGAGAATACCATTTTACTGGCTTTCTTTAATTGTCAGTATATTTGCATACGAGTAAAATGTGCAAGACGCAATGCCAATGTATATAACTATCACTAACTCTATTTTGAATCCTAATATATATCGCCTCTGTTGACAGAAATTTCGTAAGTGTTTGTATTCAGAACTAGTTCGTTTCGTATTGGCTCCACTCGGACGATCGCTGATAGCCTCTTATGGTTGGCAGTGCAGCTGCGACCGACCAACGCCGGACATTAAGGGGTTTCACCTTTAGAACTGTCACTAGGTCTGAAAATGTCACCATCAAACATTTAGATCGTGGAGACCTTCCAGAAATCCTCAAGTCAAAAAAGGTAAAAAGAAAACAACGCCATCTGTTTTGCATTGCGACCAAAAATGATTAATGGCTTGAGAAACTCTTCAAAAACATCCCATGATTCCTCATTTCACCAGAATTGTGAAAATGGGTTAAATCGCGGACTTTACAGCATCCCTCCGTTTTTTTTTAAATCATTTTACCCCAGGTAAAGTGATAATGCCACTAAGACACAAGGGTTTACTGAGAGTGAAAGAAAATGAAAAAACAGATAAATAAAATGATAAAGCGATATATATATATATATATATATATATATATATATATATTTGTATATTTAGGCAGCAATCCTTCCTTTATGCATGTTTCGTTAAAAACGACAGACAAGCTACTACAGTTGAGCTTTTTATTTAATTTTTCTTGTGTTCTGACAAGAGCTTTCTTTTCTGGACAAAGAGTGTGTAAGAACTGTCCGAATGTTCTGTGTTTCCGAGCGCTTTCGGCTATACCTTTAGCCATTATCAAGGATGGTTCAATTATCAGCTTAGTAGAGTGTGTTCTATGTATGTTCAGTGTGTGGTAGTGATGTTTTAGTTTCCGAATACGGTTAGCACATTGTGGCTTTGTTCATAGTTGATATTGTTAAGAGTTGGCTTTTTCTTTTTTATTATTAGAGCTTCCATTATTTTTAGTCTTTTTTTGCAAGTGGATGCAGTTAACGAAACATGCATATATATATATATATATGTATGTATGTGTGTGTGAAAAGTGTATGTATATAAATATAAATAAATATATATATATATATATATATATTATTATTATTTATATATTATATGCGCGGTACTTATTAGAAAGCGCTCAATATCAGAGATAGAGCTAACATATTTGGTTGAATTGATGTAAGTTTGTAACCCTGGGTTTCACGACACCAATACACGCAATCTACATAAACCCAAATTTAAAAAAAAATTAATCAGTTTGTCTGACGATCGCAAAAGCGTGAAACCCAGGGTTACAAACTCACATCAATCCAACCAAATATATATATATATATATATATATATATATATATATATATATATATATATATATATATATTAAGACATTTTATGTTTATACATTCTTTTTTGTAGATACAAATATTTAAGTAAATGCTCTGTTTTATAATAGACAACATTTATAACGTTTACCGGCCTTAATGTCCGGGAAATTTTTATAGAAAATATTCGTCCACCGACAGGCTAAATAACGGTTCCGTATAGGATACAGGTTCGATTCCTGTCGGAGGACGGATATTTTCTATGACAATTTCTCGGACATTCGGGCCGGTAAATGTTATAAATACTGTTTATTACAAAACGGAGCATTTACTTAAATATTTGTATTTATAAAAATAATGTATAGACATAAAAATGTCTTTAAATAATTGTCGGACTTTGTCTGTTTCATAATGCGTGACATCACATATATATATATATATATATATATATATATATATATATATATATATATATATATAGAGAGAGAGAGAGAGAGTGAGTGTGTGTGTGTGTGTGTGTGTGTGTGTGCGTGCGTGCTTATTCATCTATTCAGGTTCACCTGTTTCTGTCTGTTTTGGCGTATGCTGTTTTTTGCTTGTCTCGCCATCAATTCATGTCGAGAGAACACGTTATGCTTGAATTTAAAAAAGAAAAAGTTGGTCTGGCATTATTCAAAGAAGCAGACACGTCATCTGGCATAATGAATGAAAAGGCGGGAAAAAAAACTTTTTTTTAAGACGCTTCCAGATTGCTTTTCTTTTTTTAATGCGCGATAAGTTTGATCTGCATCAACTGTGTTGCTAATGACATGAAAAGCAAGAAATGCAAAACTGATTCGTTGTTTTTGCTGTTAAACATTGAAATTAGCTTTTAAAGTTTGAATGAATTTTTTACTTGAATACTTGGTTGACTGTAGTTTGAAAGAAAAGCAAATAATCAGAAAATTCATCAGAAAACGTGATAGAAAATTTTAATCTTATTCATTTTAAGAAGAAGTAATTTGTCTTTTTTTAATTTGGCATTCGTCCTAGATAAATTATTAACAAACTCGTCTCTATAGCAATGTATCCTGCCAGTGTGGTGAGGGCACGGCATCGCTGGACGAAGAGCTTCCTAGACTGAAATCAAAGGCCAGGCGGTGGATTCCTTAGATAGAATCAGCAGCTACGTGTCTGTGACCAAAGCGAGCCTCCAAGTTGTAAAGAGATGGGCTCCGCCAAGTCTACTGACCCGTGACTAGAATAAATACTACACTGGCCCTCAACCCAGATATGTGAAGGGAAATAGTCATGTACTCAACGACCCTACAACCTACACTTGCGCAGGGGACTGATGACGATAAAGAGGATGAATCTCGCAGTTCAGTGATAAAGCTTATGTCTCTCTACCACGACCTCAAGTACACTGAATGGCGATGTTGTACCTGAAGCCTCCTTTAGGGTTGTAAATATTTTAAATACTTGCAATAATACCTGGCATTGCTTGAACCACGCCCTTTGCCTTTGCTCTGTTGTCCGTCCCTGTCGTTTATTTGGTTAAAACATATGCTGAAATCGTAAAATTGTATTAACAGCATTGTCGTTTTTTGTTGTTGTTGTTGTTGTTTTTTTTAAAAATTTTTTTAAAGCATTTCACCCCAAGCAAGGCGGGAGTACCACTAGCACGCAAGGCGTTACAGAGGATTGAGAAGAAGAGTAAAGAGGCGTGTTTGAGGAAAGGATGAAGAGGGGGACGGGAAATAGATCAAGGCATCTGGTGATGTCGATTGACATTACATTTGAATAGTTGGAGTTTATAGCTATCAAGGAAACAAGTAATATGAAGGGAATTCCACAGGCGGGAGGTGCGAGACATGACGCTATTGGATGGTTACATTTAACAGTTTCGACAGTGAAAGGGTGGGATCACGTTGCCAGCCTAGTTGCACGTTTAAATTCATGAAATCTGGGAACTAGCGAAAGTAACTCGTCGGAGCAGTTACCGTGAATGTATTTGTAGAAAAGA